CGGGGAGCGCTCCGCTCGGCCGGTCATGAGTCGGAAAATGAAGAAGGAGCGCTGTCTATCTATAAATAGATAAATAGATAGATCTAGATAGTATATATATTTATATATCTATATATATATATATAGATAGATAGATAAAGTGGTTTTTTTTCCCTGAATACGGTGATAGCAGTATGGGGTATTCAGGGTGTGCCGTGTAAGGAAGAGATAAATCGTAAAGCAATAACGTGAAGGGGCCATTTAAGAGTTAATCCCGCGGCACATTCCAATGCCGGAAAAGTCTATCTTCTTCGTTAGAACTAATATTAACACAAGCAATTTTCTCTAAGTTGTCTATACCGCAGACCACATCATTTTTTTTGCCAAAAAGGAACTATATAGCTCATACAAAAAATTGCTTCTGCAGAACAATAACAGTTAATTCTAACCTCTGTGTACTTGCTTTCTCATATATATTTTTATATAGGGGTTTGTCTATAAATCGGTATCGTTAACTCCCGATAAGTCGATTTTCGTCAATATTGCGAGTTTTTTAGGGCCATCTGCCGCATGATGCGTTTAATCATGTCCTCCGCCTCTCTTTCCGCCCGTTCGATAATGAGGCGTTCCTTTTCCAGACTAGTTTTGCTTGGATATTCCTCTCGCGCCTTCAGCAGGTTGGTAAATTTATCCCGCGCTCGCCGCTCGATTGCGGCTTTTATCGTGGGGTCCTCCAGGACTTCACAAACCGTCTCCACAGCCACCTTGGAAAGATCCGCATAATCATTTGTGTGGTGGAGCGCGGGATGTGTGTTGTGTAGTTTGATGTTTTCCGTGGAGGTGAAATCGGCTAGGGCATCCGTCGATAGCACCGATACGGCGTAGGCCATTTTCTGAAGTTCGCTCGGCTGAATACCAAAAAAACGCTCCGAATCGTCCACGCCGTTTTTGGGTTTCACCGAGCCTCGCTTTTGTTTGTAGTCCTTGTAGGACAGTCCGCCTTGCGGGCCCGAGATCGCGTTCGTTTCCGTCATCATATCCTGCGTGCCGTTTCCCAGTGTGTGAGGATTAATAAGGGAGAATAACGGCCTTTTTGAGGGCACCAAAACGCTGGGGTGAATTTCCAACTCGTTTTCGAGCAACCCCATGTAGGGCCGAACCCTCGCCTCGTGGACGATGTGTTGGCGAACGCAATCCACCAGGGCGTCGATCATCACCCGCAGTTTATCCCTTGTGATCCAAAACTCCAGACGGAAAACCGGGTTTCGCGTCCTTTTCCCCCCACCGATCGTCTCCAAAGCCTCAAAATGCAGACATTGGATGGCGTTTCGCGCGATCCACTCGCATTCGGGATCGCCTTCATAGCGAGCGAGCAAAGGCCCGGTCGAGGCCGTGTGGCTTTCCGCAAAGCCCACCGCGAGGAGATCCCTGCAAAGGGCGACAAGATCGAGTAATAAAATCCAGGCAAAGTGCGGGGTGATGGGGCGTGTGGTTCGCGCGGCGGGGGTGAGAGGCCGGGTCGCCATCGGGTCCACGACGTGGCGGAAGACATAGCGGTGGAGATCCTCCTGGATGGAGTG